CACACACACACACACACACACACTGAATACGCGGCGAACCCCTCGCAAATTTGATTTACGCTGCTGCGGGCCACGGGCCGCGCGGCTCGCCGACCCCGCCGGGACAAGTGTTGGCCATCATGGTAATCTGCCGGCGGCCCACGGCGGCCCGGGGTCAACCGTGTGCCTTACCGTCCACGTGTCGGACACCACCCGGAGGGAGAGGAGAGGGAGAGGGAGAGGGAGAGAGAGAGAGAGAGAGAGAGAGAGAGAGAGAGAGAGAGAGAGAGAGAGAGAGAGAGAGAAGGGGGGGTGAGAGTAGTGTCCAGTAGTGTCCGTCTGAGTGTGTGTTTGTGAGAGAGGTCTGACTGTGTGTGGGAGAGAGAAAGGGGTGTGTCTGAGAGAATGTCTGTGTGTGAGTGAGAAAGAAAGATAGAGAGAGGCGCAGCGACCCGATCACCGGATAAGCCCCGCTGCAGGTGTCTTCATCGGTAAGCAGGCCCATGCCGCCATGCGGCCGATTCACAGTGGGCCGGCCGACGCGGCCACGCATCTAGGTGCGCCGGTCGGTCGGCCGGCCAGTCGGTGCATCGCGCAGCAGACCCATTCCGAGAGTCGTTTACGTCGCTCTGTCTCTCTCGCACCCGTGGAAAACGCCCAACGAGTCCGATAGAGACAGAGCGACGAAAGCGACTCTCGGAATGAGTCTGCTGGCCGCGCGCCATGACTCATGACGACGGGCTGCGTCCATGCAGTGGTGCACCGAGACGAACACGGATCGATAAAGATCAAAGCGATGACCATCAAGGCCAAAAAAAGAAAAAGAAACAAAGGAAAAAACGCGCCTCAAACGTTATCATCATTATTATACTATCCCGCAGCAGCATCCTTGGCCGCGGAGGAGGGGGCGCCAACACCGTGGCGGTGCAGTGCCGTGCCGTGCCGCCGTGCCGTACCGCGACGCGCCTCGACGGCCACCTGCAGACTCATTCCGAGAGCCGTTTTCGTCGCTCTGCCTCCCTCGCACTCATGGGGGCGTCCCGGAGAGGTGCGAGAGAGGCAGAGCGAAATCAGTCTGCCGACCGACGGACACGAACACCTGCATAGCCGCGAACGCCACGGCAAATATCGCGACCCTCAACTCCACTATTCCTTTGCGTGAGACTGCTCTGCCGCGAATCAATTCCGATGAAATACGCACACACAAACACGAACACACACACACACACACGCACACAGAGGAAGTTTTCATTGACTAGAACAATCGCGGCCCCGGCTCCACATGCAAAACAGCGAGATAATACCCACTAAATAAGAATAAACAAGAAATCCGGCGCCGAAAAAGGAGAGGGATTTCGGTCGGCGGGGCGAAATTGGCGGAGCAGCGCGGCAAGCGGCGAGGTTTGCTCGCGAAACGTCACATGAATTTGCCCCGCCATGTGGAAATATCCATTAGGCTTTTGCTCACAGCGGGGCCGACTGGCTGGCACATAATTCGATAGTACCATACCATACCACCCGCCGCAGCACCGTTGTCCCCAAATTACAAAAAAGAAATCAAATTAAATCAACAGTGTGTGTACCCCATTTTATTTTTATTCCCCCCCTTAACTAGATTCCAATTTTCATAAACGCGCTCCGTTTCCTCGTCGTCCGCGCCACTGGCAACAAGCGACATGGACGCGTGCTGCTTTCTACGGCGCTAATGCGGCAGGCCGATCGCCCCGTCTCTCTCTCTCTCTCGCACCTGCAAGGAACGCCCCGCGAGTGCGAGAGAGACAGCGTCACGGAGTGCCTGCCTTTCATCACGATAATGCGGCCGATAAAGTGACTGTATCGGCTACACCTCCGCGACCCTCTTTAACGCCCCGCCCCGCCTCGCCCCACTGCAACCCGCCCACCGCACCCCGCCCCGCCCCGCCCTCCGCGGCTAGTTACCCGTACCATATGGTCAAGGGGTTCAACCATCGCTTGGGGGAAGTCAGGCCGGCGGGGGCGGCGGCGGGGGCGGCGCGGGGGGGGCGGCGCGGGGGCGGGGCGGGGGCGGCGCGGGGGCGGTGGGGGAGGCGGGGGCGGTGTGTCCGTGTGGAGCCGAGCCGCAATCGCCGCCTCAACCTGTTCAACCGCGGAGCTCATAGTGTAGTAATGCCCGCGGACTTGGAGCACCGCCGAGTATCCCTGCTGCCGATGCTGTTGTTGTTATTGTTGCTTTTCAACTGTTGTTGTTGTTGTTCCTTTTGCCTTGGAAAGCACCCGCATACGTTCAACTCATAACATTGTCTTGTCCGCGCCGTCCTCGTGCGTGTCGTGCTCTCGAGCTCTCGAAGCGCCCGCGGAAAAAACTCGACTCCGTTTTCGACGGAGAAGAAATAAGAGATCGTCGTACCGCGACGATCAAAAAGGGAAAGACACGCCAATGAAGGCGAAAATAGATAAACATCTGCGAACGACTGAAAACACAAACTCTGAAAACTTCGCCCTTAAAATTTGAAACTTAAAAAAAGCAGCGAGTTGGCCTTACCTTGAGCAGCAAGTGCAGTGGCGGGCTGATAGTGGGCTTCTTGCGGGCGGGCTGCGGCGACAGGCACGACTTGAGCCACGGCATCCTCGATGTCCTGGGGGTCCTGGTAGTCCTGCAGCAACAACACGAAACGTTCAAGTTGGTTCGGCCCGAAGAGACAGTCAACCGAGTGTCCCCCATAAGGCATAAAGACCGGAGGTGCGGATCCAGGGGGCGTTGGGGGTGTTGTTACCCCACCCCGAGGGCGGCGCACAGTGGACCAGAGGCCGGTGGAGAAGGGCAAAACTCTAGACGCGTTTTGAGCTCCAGAGACACTGAACAGGCCTCGAACCGAACGTGTGACCCCACCAATGGGTTCTTCGTTCGGTGAGCAATCCATTGGTGGGGCCTCACGTTCGGTTCGAGTCCCATTTAGCGACTCTGGAGCTCAAAACGCGTCTAGAGTTTTGGCCGCCTCCACCGGTCTTCTGGTCCACTGTGCGGCGAAGCCACGCCTGAAAGGCAGGCAACAAGTCCCACTTTGCCCCTGTAGTCAACCGCCCTATTCCCCCTGAGCCCGTCTCTGGATCCGCCCTTGCTAGTACACACAGTCAACACAACAGCCATTGCCTGGCTTGTACACCTTTCCGGGGACTTACTGCCCTGGCCGTCGGACCGTCGGGTCGGACCGGTCAAAATATTGTTTCCTTGTCCGGGGGCACGCTGACGTTGCAGCTGCCGGCAGACGGGGAGAACGAGGAGGGCGGCGTCTGGTCAGTCCCTCTTCTCTCTCTCTCTCTCTCTCTCTCTCTCTCTCTCTCTCTCTCTCTCTCTCTCTCTCTCTCTCTCTCTCTCTCTCTCTCTCTCTCTCTCTCTCTCTCTCTCTCCTGGCCGGCACGCCGTGAAATGGGATGCTGCCGACCCATTGAGGCGTGGTGGAGATCCTCCCGGCCTCACGTCGTGCATCCCTGCGCCGCGAAGGAAATTACGAATTTGACAGAAACCTTTGCCGCACTTCTGTCACCGCATGGTGAGGCTCAGTCTCTCTCACACACACACACACACACACACCTCTTTTCCCAATCGCCACACGGTGCGGCGGCGGCGTGTAGCGTCCTCACCAAACGTTTTGACGGCGGCACACGCGCGTGACCCACCGGTGTGGCCGTACCGTGCCGTGCCTTGCCGCGCCGCTCAGCACGTCCTTTGCCCACACATCTGCCGCCGGCTGCACCAAGAATAGGGGGATGCATGTGGCCAAAGGTGTGCGCCTGCCGCCGCGCGCCACGGATCGAAACCCAAACCCCACGATGTGGGGTTCTGCTTTTACTACTCTGGCCGTGTGTCTGTGTGTGTATGTGTGTGCGTGTGTGTGTGTGACGAAATGCTCCTTACCGGCAGGGTGCGACATCCCGTCACTGAAGTGACTTCTGCGCCACTCTTGCAAGCTGCCGTGTGCACACACTCACACACTAACACTGACACACTGTGCGCGATGCGCCGATGCACTCGGATGCACCGCCCCCCGAAACTTTCTCCTCCAGTAATTAAAGCCCCGGTGGCCTGGCACTCATCGGCCGGCCCTGCCCCGCAGACTGATCCGCCCTGTCTCTCTCGCACTCATGGGGCGTCCCGTGTGGGTGCGAGAGAGACAGACTCTCAGTCTGCTGCCCGGCGCTGCCCGCTGCAGCTCGCTGTCGAGTGGATATGGATGGAGACATTAGGATAGGAAGCCGGCTAGGTTATGGAAGGCTGGAACGCAGAGCGCGCAGCGGTGGCGGCAAGGTTTTTATAGCGTGTGCCGGACCGTCGCCAGCCGACCAGAATGGATAGATAGGGGTGTAGAGCACCAAGCGGGCCTGACTACCTCCCCGGTGTTACTGCCCATCTGTTCCCGCGGTGGGAAAAGGGGGGGATTAAAACTCGATGACCGGAGTCGAACCCGCGACCTCCGCGCGTGACCGAAGTGCATGGCGCCTTGGGGTGCTCGGTGCGGGTTCGACCCCCGGCGGTGGCGGCAGCCTCGAAGGTGGGCAGGGCAACATTGCCTTTTTCCCGCTCGCCTGACGACCGGCCCGCGTCCGAACAGTGAATGGGTCTCTCTCGCTCTCACGGGGTTCGCCCAGGCCGTGGTGGTGCGAGAGAGACGGAGCGACGGCATCTGCGCAGCGCGGGCTTTGCAACACGCGTGCGTGCTCGCCAAGTGATGCATTATTCCGATGCGCACCCAAAGCCATCATCATGGTGTCGCTGTACCACGTGCACCACATCGTGTGCCGCATGTGGAGCGAGGCGCGCTGTCACGCTCCGCGAAGACTCCAAGAGCACCGTCATCATCGCGCCTTCGCGCCTTCGCGGCCGCGTTCGCAGCCATTTCATTTGGGCCTCGCACCTCCCCCGTGCACTCACTGATGCACTCGAACACTTCAGGGATTTTTGCGGTGCGGTTTCGGGGCAATTTCATTTCGGCATTGCATCTGCCCCTGCACTGATGGCAGCATTCTTCGCGCGTCAAGATTTCTTTTTGTGGTAGCACGGGAATTTTCATTTGGGCCTCGCGCACCTCCCGCAAGGAACTTAGTTTTTTGTCGTTTTATTGTTTTTTGTTTCTGGTTCCCGAAGCGAAACTATTTCTCACACTTGAGTGTCTCGGAAGTGCAGGAATTTCTTTTCCTTGTTCACCTCCACCAACACTATCACCACCACCGGCGCCACCACCACTCTGACTCCAAACAGCGCCGCGCTCCCTTGCGTCGCTCCGTCTCTCTCGCACCTCCACGGGACGCCCCGCGAGTGCGAGAGAGACGGAAGCAGCCCGCACAGTGGCCCAGAAGACCGGTGGAGGCGGCCAAAACTCTACTCGCGTTTTGAGCTCCAGAGTCGCTAAATGGGACTCGAGCCGAACGTGTGACCCCACCAATGGATTCCTCGTTCGAAGAGCAATCCATTGGTGGGGTCACACGATCGGTTCGAGTCGTATTCAGCGACTCTGGAGCTCAAAACGCGTCTAGAGTTTTGGCCGCCTCGCCCACTGTGGCCCGCCAGCCTCTCGGGGCGCGATAAGGACCGACCGCGGCACGCCACGCGGCATTCAATTGCCGAGCGGAGCGCAGCCAGCGCAAATCCACCTTGATGGGCCTCGCCTGGCTTTTGCCTTCTTCCACTGTCGTGACTTTACTGCCCCGCGTAATCCGGCGACACAAGGACACACACACACACAGACAGACAGACAGACAGACAGACAGACAGACAGACAGACAGACAGACAGACACACACACACACACACACACACAGTGTCCTTGGGACGAATTAGCGGGCTGCACCGGGGCTGCGCTCCACCTGGCATGCAGGCCGTCGTCGTCGCCGTCGTCGTCCAAGTCCGGACTAGTGCAGCCGTTTGGCTCTGTCTCTCTCACTCGTTCCGTAGGAGAGAGAGAGAGAGAGAGAGAGAGAGAGAGAGAGAGAGAGAGAGAGAGAGAGAGAGAGAGAGAGAGAGAGAGAGCGCCGCGCCAATCGCAGTACTATACACACAGCGACGCGGGCCGCGAGGCGATTCCATCTCGCCGGCGCCGCCACCACACAGCGCTACCCGCCGAAGCGAACGCCATTGAGTGTGTCCGGACCGGAGCCAGCAGACTGATTCCGAGAGTCGTTTTCGTCGCCCTGTCTCTCTCGCACTCATTGTCGCTAAAGGTGCCATGGAGAGACAGAGCGACGAAAACGACTCTCGGAATCAGTTTGCAGGGCAGTATAGCACTTTTTGCCTTCTTACAGGGGCAGTGTCGCTTCTCGCCGGCTATACCTTTCAGGGGGCCATCTCAGCGTCTTGTCCATTCCGACATCCGCTCCACGGATCCGCGCTTATGGTGACTTCAGATTTATTGTTTCATTAACCAAGTTGCTGACGGAGAGGGGAAGGGGAGGGGGGAGCGGACAGGGTGCGGCCGTCCAGGGAAGGCCAGGGGCCGACGCTAACTGCTCGCCAGACGCGGCTAAAAATATGAAGGGCGGGTAGAGAGAGGCGCATCTGCGTCGCCGAGTAGCCCTGCCTGCCCCGCCAGTGCCCTGGCCGCCCCGGACGGCGGCACTCCCAGCGTGGTATACGCGAGGAACTCGGTTAATTATGAATGGTCGCGTGCCAGGAGGGGAGGGGGCGGAGGGGAGGGTGGAGGCAACATCACAAGAAGCAACCAGTGTCACGCAGCAGACTGAGAGTCGTTTTCGCCGCTCTGTCTCCCTCGCACTCAAGGGGCGTCCCCTGTGCTAGGTGCGAGAGAGACAGAGCGACGAGAACGACTCTCGGCAGCAGTCTGCAGGCGGCGGAGCGCGGCAGAAGATGTGGATCTCGCGGCGTCGTGCGTGAGGCGGAGCGGCGGTGCCGGCGGCGCTCTCGATCAGAGACACACGGTGCGGTGCCACCGGCGCCACTTATAAACACATCATTTGGGGTTTTTGTACGCGGGAGTCCGCCGGCCGCCACGGCAGCGCGCACTTAAAAACCGTTTAAAAACGTTTCTTTTCTGCGAGACTGTGCTAAGAGGGATGATGGTGCGAGGCCTGGGCCTTGTCCCACGGCACGGCCAACACGGCGGCGGCGCTGTCGAAGGGAAGGGAAGGCAGGCAGCTGGGGCTGGCGGGCTGGCGGGGCTGGCAGGGCTGGCAGCGTGTTAACACGCACATTAATTAGGTACTAACTAGAGGTGGACAGGGCAGATGGCTCCTCTCCTCCGCCGGGGCCGAGGCCGGGGCTCCCCACCGGCCCACCGGCGGCCCATTCCGAACAGCGCTGCCGTCGCCCCGTCTCTCTCGCACCCCCGCGAGGCTAGCGAGGCGCCCCACGAGTGCGAGAGAGACGGAGCGACGACGGCGCGCACCGTTCGGAATGGGCCGGCTGGCCACTGCCCCCGCGATGCGTCACCTCGTTCACGTGTTCACACCGCCAGGTTCGAGGTTCGAATCCCCGCTGAACCGATGCGATTTCGAGTGTCCACTTTGCTGCTGGACCTAGCCTGCAAGGTCGGATCCGGGGAGGGGGAAGAACGACGGATTCCCTTGTAGGAAGGTAAGAAGAAGAAGTGCCACTTTGTGCCCCCCTCCCCCCCACAGTGGGCCAGAAGACCAGTGGAGGCGGAACTCTAGACGTGTTTAGAGCTCCAGCGTCGCTAAATGGGACTCGAATCGAACGTGTGACCCCACCAATGGATTGCTCTCCGAACGAGGAATCCATTGGTGGGGTCACACGTTCGGTTCGAGCCCAGATTAGCGACTCTGGAGCTCAAAACGCGTCCAGAGTTTTGGCCGCCTCCACCGGTCTTCTGGCCCACTGTGCCCCCTGGGAATCGAATCTGGATCCGCCACTGGCCTTAGGGACGGGCCCTCCTGTCCTATCCCATCCTGAGGCCCGGCTGAGGCTGGTCCGGCTGGTCCGAGCCGCAATGGGCCCCCATGGCGTGAACTACGAACCCATCACTTTCTCATTAAATTACTGCTATCAGACGTCAATAATGATTGAGCGGATCTGCCAGAGTCGGATCGGAGGGCCGAGCCGAGGAAGGGAAGAAATGGGTTTTCGGTGCGCACTCCGAGGTTCGTGACCAGCCGACTACGTGCGAATATCCGGTGGCGCAGTTGGTTCCGAGGCCGCTCCCCCCGTCGGGGGTCGCGGGTTCGACTCCCTCACGCGGCAGTGCAAACACGCGTGTTTATTTTGTCGCTCTTTTTTTCGCCGGGTAGCCCAAACGTGTGACTCATCCTGACTGATCGATCCGAAGCAGCCCATCTGCAGCGAAGCAGCGAAAAGGGTTTTTAAAAAGTCTCGGCTTCCCGCGGAGAAGGATGGAAATTAATGTGCCGACGTCTCGACAGCTTGTCCCACGTGGCCGGACCGTGACAAGCGTTATTAATGACTTTCTTTATTCCATTTATTTATTTATATTTAAAAAGATGAAATTTTTAATTCGGTGTGCCGCACTTGCGGCCCTCATGCCGCGGCTCATGACTGCTCGTGACGCATTGAGACAAATGAATGGCAATCGAAGCGCGCGAGCCGCGCCATGGGGCGGGCAGACGGACAGGCAGACGGACAGGACTTCTTTGTCCGCCGAAGGTGCATTCTCGTCGATTCCGCTTGCACCCATTCAGCGAATCGCACCGGAAAGGGGGGGGGGCAGCACGTGCCCCGCCGCCACCTTTGCCGCTTTCCGGTCCCCGTTTGACTCTGTTTTCCCCGCTGCACAGTGGGCCAGAAGACCGGTGGAGGCGGTCAAAATCCCGGACGCGTTTCGAGCTCCCGAGTCGCCAAATGGGACTCGAACAGAACGTGTGACCCCACCAATGAATTGCTCTCCGAACGAGGAATCCATAGGTGGGGTCACACACTCGGTTCGAGTCCTGTTTGACTCTGGTGACCAAACGTGTCTTGGGACCAGCAACGTCACAAAGTTGGTCAAAGAGTCCTAGTATATATAGGAAGAAAGTAGCCGTTTTCGCTGATTTTGGGCGGCCACTGCGTCCGATCAAATTGCGGCCAACGGCCTCCCTCGACGCCCTCGTATTGTTAAGACCCTACTCTTTCATGCCCTGTATCGGGAAGACGTTGACCACAGCGATTTTGGCTTTGACCGCAACGATTTTCTGACCATGTTGGACAAAAAGTGGTCGAATCTCGGGACTTTGCTGATTTTACTGACTTTGGGTGGCCACTGTGTCCAATCTAGTCGCCGTAAAAGGCCTCCCTCGACGCCCTCGTATTGTTAAGACCCTACTCTTTCATGCCCTGTATCGGGAAGACGTTGACCACAGCGATTTTGGCTTTGACCGCAACGATTTTCTGACCATGTTGGACAAAAAGTGGTCGAATCTCGGGACTTTGCTGATTTTACTGACTTTGGGTGGCCACTGTGTCCAATCTAGTCGCCGTAAAAGGCCTCCCTCGACGTCCTAGTATTCTTAAGACCCTACTCTTTCATGCCCTGTATCGGGAAGACGTTGACCACAGCGATTTTGGATTTGACCGCAACGATTTTCCGACCAAGTTGGACAAAAAGTGGTCGAATCTCGGGAATTTGCTGATTTTACTGACTTTGGGCGGCCACTGTGTCCAATCTAGTCGCCGTAAAAGGCCTCCCTCGACGTCCTAGTATTCTTAAGACCCTACTCTTTCATGCCCTGTATCGGGAAGACGTTGACCACAACGATTTTGGCTTTGACCGCAACGATTTTCCGACCAAGTTGGACAAAAAGTGGTCGAATCTCGGGAATTTGCTGACTTTGGGCGGCCACTGTGTCCAATCTAGTCGCCGTAAAAGGCTTCCCTCGACGCCCTAGTATTCTTAAGACCCTACTCTTTCATGCCCTGTATCGGGAAGGCTATTGACCGCAACTAGTTTGGGAGCGGTAGCCTCACAAAGTTGGTCATGAAGGGTAAAAACATAATGATGATCGGGGGCCTTTTGCGGTCTGATCTGCTGGGGCCTTTTGGGGGCCAGTCCGAGCCTGGTCATGTCACAGGAGTCCTTACGCCGGTGACACGCCACCGTAAACAACAACATGCGACACATGACAAACCGGCAAACGAGTTGATGCTCGGAGAAACGCCGAGAAACACTCACACTGGTCACTGGGAGGCAGGGTTATCCTAAATCCGCTGATATGGGCCGTCCATGCCGACACACACGCGCGCACACACACACACACACACACACACACCTTGAGTTGACCACTATCCGCGATGTCGCGGCATTCACGCGGGCCGCTGCCGGCACGACGCGGCGCGGCGTCCGCTCTCGACCACGGCCAGACCGGCACTGATGCCGGCAGCGAGGCGAGGCGCGCGCCGTTTGACTGTGGGAGAGGGAGAACCGGGGGGGCGCGCGGCGCAGTCAAAAGGGCCCGAAACGCCGGCCGGCGCGGCGTGGAGCGACTTGAAGGGGTTGCTTACTCACCCAAAGACTAATCAGCGGCACATCGCGTGCGTAGTTTGGGTTGTTTGCGTGATCGGATGAACTTCAATCAGTAGCGCAGCGCGCCACCCAGCGGCCGGTACTGTGAACTGTCAAAAGCTGAACTCGCAGCGGCGGATCCAGAGCCGGCTTGATGGGGGTACAAAATAGCCAAAGTACAGCTGTATTGAAATCAGAAGACCATGCCGGTGAAATTGGCGCAGCTTACGAGCTTGCTGCTTTCCAGGGTCAACCACAAAGACTGAATGCTGTGGACGGGAGTGAAAATGTTGACGTCGACGAGGAAGATGATGTTGACGACGAGGAAGGCGGTGGTGGGGATGAGAACGAGGATGATGAAGACGAGTAAAGTGCTGATAAGATCGCTGTAATTCCATTCATTAATTTTTTTTAGGAGATTTTTATGTTACACCTTTCTTTTTCTGCTTATTTGACGTTGCCCTTCGACCATCAACTTACTGTTCGAATCAGGCAGGTACCGTGCTGGAAAGTAAAGTTTCAAGCCTGTCATCAAATTTAACTGTGAACATGTTCGCTGTGCAGCTGTTGCATTTTATAAAAGAAAATAATAAAATCAGTTACAATTTTGGAACGTCTGTTTATCATACTGGCCCAGCAAATTTTATTTTGCATTCAACTCATCTGTCACCTGACGGTATCAACATAAAGGTGGCCTTACAATGCAAGTCCGCCCACGTCCGACTTCCCGATGTTGGCGTTTTTCTTGAGAATAGTTCGCATGCGATGGTTTAAAATGGTCAAGAATAGTAATTTACGTCATATTCCTGTTACATTGGGTTCAAATAGTGCGAATAATCGGATGACGGACATGGCATGGCCGGCCGGACACTCATTGTAAGGCCACCTTAAAGGGGAATACCCCATGCGCCGACGCCTCTCCTCTGGCGATACCCCGCGCCGATACTCCGTACCAGTACGTACCAGCAGCGCTGCCGAGCGTGCGAGTCACTGCAGTTAAACGAGTTCAGCTGTGGCAATCACATGACACTTTGTCCGGGAATAAGCTAGAGCTGAACCACGCTTTTCTTCATTTCACTTTTCACGTTATCTCTACTTTCCATTTCAGAAAGGTGGCGCCTGCTTGAGTCCCGCGCGACTTTGGGCGACTGCAGCGCGCTCTCGCCGCAACTTGGCGAACTACGCACTGCACATTTGTCCGCCCGCCGTCTCGTCTGTTTGCTGTTTATGTTGGAATCAAAATGGCGAGCTCCTCGAGGTACGTCTAGTCCTTTGGCGTTCGCTTTTTTGTGGATTATTTGACTTTCAATGAAGTTTGATGTACCTTGTGAGGGCGCTGCATCGTTCTTGACATGAATGTTCATTTTTCTGTGACTTTCTTTGTTCTGAGTTTGGCCAATCTTTTGATGGCAATCAATGTAGGCTATTCAACAGTTTCTGTTTTTGTATTGTGGTCCAGTGCGTTCTTTATCCAAACCCCTTACATTATTTGTATTTGAATTTTATATGAAAGTCTCTTTTAAATTTATTTCTTTATATTGTCTTGTGGATGTTGGTGGCTTTGTTTTTATCACAATATGGGACTGACAATTGGCCTAACCTGTCTTTTCTTGTCATTTGTATCAAACATCTGGCAGAAGACAGTCAGTATTGATTCTAAAACTACAGACTGTTAAACGTAAATTGCACTCTCATAGCGTTTGTTCTTTTCTTTGAATTTTAAAGAAAGCAGAACGATAGGTCCTGGCTACTGTTTCTCATATCTGTCACACATTTTTGCTGATTTTAGTAGTTTCCCTTATTTATTTAGTCGCTATAGCAATTATGTTTTCTTCTTGCCTTTCCAGGTTTGATGCTAACACAGTGTGCTGCTATGCGCACCCAGATGCTCCTCTTATTGAGGACTATAGAGCAGGTGACCAAATATGCTCGGAATGTGGTCTTGTGGTTGGGGACCGGTGAGTCACTTCCTCTTTAATGTCGCAATTGAATTATCTTGAGTCGAATTTTACCTATAGTTTTGTTGCCCTTTTAGGGTTATCGATGTCGGATCTGAGTGGAGAACATTTAGCAATGAAAAGTCTGGAGTGGACCCATCTCGTGTTGGTGGGCCCGAAAACCCACTTCTTGGCGGTGGGGACCTATCCACAATGATTGGGCCTGGCCGAGGAGATGCATCATTTGATAGCTTTGGTGTTTCCAAGTATCAAAACAGAAGAACAGTCAGTTTCATCAAACCTAATCAACATTATGATAGAGTGTTTCAGAATGGTAATGATGATGTTTCTCTTTGCAGATGAGCAGTTCAGATCGGACACTTATCAATGCATTTAGAGAAATCAACAACATGGCAGACCGCATCAACTTACCTAAAACTATCGTTGACCGTGCCAATAATCTTTTTAAACAAGTCCATGATGGTAAAAACCTGAAGGGTAGAGCTAATGATGCAATTGCTTCAGCATGTCTGTACATTGCATGTCGTCAAGAAGGTGTTCCTCGTACATTTAAGGTAATAAATGAACTTTGTTTGTTGAGCTTATAATTATTTTTGTATGCCTCAATTTGTTTATTTATTTACTCTTTAATTTCTGTTCTCAGGAAATTTGTGCTGTCAGTAAAATTAGCAAAAAAGAGATTGGTAGATGCTTCAAACTTATTTTGAAGGCACTGGAGACCAGTGTTGATCTCATCACCACGGGAGATTTCATGTCACGTTTCTGCTCCAATCTTGGTATGCATGGTTTTCAAACAACTTATTTTAAGTATTTAACTTCAGCGCTAAATCTTCATGATGTCTGTTATATCTTGAGTTGTAACTTTTGTTATGATTTCCACTTCAAGGCCTACCAAACTTGGTTCAAAGAGCAGCTACTCACATTGCTCGTAAAGCTGTCGAGCTAGATATCGTTCCAGGTCGATCTCCAATTTCTGTAGCAGCAGCAGCCATTTATATGGCATCTCAGGTAAGCTGTTTTCAATCACTCCTCAGTCATTTCTTTCTTTATGTGTAATAACTTTATTATTGATGGCTTATTCTTACTGTGTAGGCATCTGAGGACAAACGAACTCAGAAGGACATTGGAGATATTGCAGGAGTTGCTGATGTCACTATTCGGCAATCATACAAACTGATGTATCCTCATGCTGCCAAATTGTTCCCTGATGACTTCAACTTTGCAACTCCTATTGATCAGCTACCTATGATGTAACTTAGTTATTTTATTTAGTCTTATGGATTTTTTCCTAAATTGGTCCTTTTTGTTATGTAAGAGGCTAGCTAAGTATTTGTTACCTAATGTGTATCAAAAAAACATAACTCTAGTTTGGCTATGTATGTTACATACACTTTTACATGTACTGAATTACTTTTTTGTTAAGATGCACGCAGTGCTTCCCGTCTGTATGTTTCCTATCTAGATCTCTCTGAGTCCATCATGTTTAGTCTCTTGTTACTCTATTTGACATGACCAATGTTTCTTTTTTGTTGACCAATTACTTTCAATCTTTTGATGAGAATTTCTCCACATGATTTGGGCAGAAATTTCATCTGTTACCTTAAAATAAAATGATAAAAAATATAAACAGAATGATAATTCAAAAATTTGCCTTGGAGTTTCCAATATATCTGTGTTAGTTCTAGCTGTGAAATGTTTGGTACCTTTAATGTGATTGGTTGAAGTCTTTTTTTTGACTTGAACATCTTCATTTTTAGTCCATTTCTACTTCACATGATTATTTGCCTTCAATATGTAGTTTGGAAGTGTAATTAAAGCACCATTGATCATAAATCAAACTAAAAATATTTAATGAAGTAGCACAGTGATCAACATCACAGACAATATAGATAAAGCTAGCGCAAATGAAAGTTACTTTTTGTTTCGGTTTTTGCTCATGGAGTAAGCTGCAGCCAAGGTCACGCCCACTGCCCCTACCCCAGCTGCTACAGTAGCAACTGTTTGCCACCAGCCGGAACCGTTTTGGACTTGGCCCAAACCTCCTTGCTCTGCAGGGCCTCTCTGTGATGCTTCCTGGAGGCAGCTACCCTTCTGTGTATGTCTCCGACAGGAGAGGTGGGACTACTCTGTGGTTGACCCCTGGATGAAGCAGTCCTCCTCTGTGGTTGCTCTGCAGAAGAGGAAGTCCTGCTCAGTGGTTGTTCCGCAGAAGAAGAAATGGTCCTTGGTAGTTGTTCCTCAGAAGAGGAAATTGTCCTTTGCTGTTGTTCCCCAGAAGAGGAAGGCATGCTCTCTGGTTGTTCCCCTGATTCAGGGAGTGGAGCAGATAGAGTAGATGTGTTTTCAAAGGATTGAAAAGTCGGTGTGCTGGATTCAGAAAGTGGAGCTTCAGACGTTCTGGATGTTGGAGCAGTACTGTAGGTTTCCAATCTGGAAAATAATTGACCGCCATGTAAATTCAAAATTTGACATAACCAACATCACCAAGTTCTCTCCTGTTAGATTATATAAGGGTAGGTACCTGAAGAAACTACAGTAATTATCGGAAAGCTTTTGAAGGCTGTCTCTCCTTTTTGTTACTGCGCGTGCTAATCCACTTTTTTGATGTCCATTGAGTCCACTTAGTAGATTATAATTCATGTCCCAAAGACAGGGTAAGCCCTCTCGGCTAACTAATTTGTCACGAAGCAGAAGCAAAAGCTGCAAATAAATTATAGGGTTTGTGTTTGAACATCGAGCCACAATAAGAGTGGAGCAGTTGAAGTAGATGTGTTTTCAAAGGATTGAAAAGTCGGTGTGCTGGATTCAGAAAGTGGAGCTTCAGACCTTCAGCAACAATCAACCCCAATAAGAAATATTTTCAATGTCTTACTTGTAAGAGAAGCTCTGCCAAACTGAAGATATCGAACATCATACGATCCTGCAAGAATGCTTGAAGCACAAGGGTCCGGATGTGGTAGTTTGTCAAAATGTTCCATTCACATCCATCACGAAGGGACTGTGAAAAAATTCAAATCATACTAATTAGAACTGGGTGTTCTCTGTCCTTAGTACTAAGAAAACTGGGGCTATTTCTTTACTTACTTTCAGGATGTGTATCACAGATTTCAAATTGGTATGCTGTCTGATAATGAATTTTTCATGTTGCCACATTGAAATTCCCCAGAACTGATCATTACAGATCTCATTAGAACGACACTCTACACTCCATGTCTGTGGCCACAAAAAAATCAAATAGAAAATTTCAAAAATTCAAAGAAAATAAAAATCTTTCTCTTTTCTCTCCTCCGAAAAAAAAAAAATTAAAATTAACAGATGCTAATACAATTGTAGAATTCAACATACATCACAAGATGGAATTTGAGACACAAGTGGGTTGTCAGCTAACTGTTGTGGTAACTGAGATGAAGTCAATTCTAAAACAGGTAACAATTCTATATTGAATTTCATATTTTTGGCTTTGTCTTCCAGTTGGATGACAACTTTATTTCTTATGTGCTGACGTTGTATCTGAAAAAAAAAAAAAAAAAAAATTGTATAGTTGTAATATAATTCTTTTTTTGGTTAACATTTATTTAACTGTCTGCAGCCAAGTATTATTGACTGAAATAAGAGTACTACTTCACTCCTCAAGCATTCCAAAAAAAAGTCCACTGTCCACTCTGTTACATGAAGGAAAAAATTGTAAACAAAATCGATTGATTATATTTATGTACATACCAGATAATTGGGTATTGTTCCAACCAAAGCCAAGCTCTTATCTACAGCACCAGCCAGCCATCCCAGAACTGCAGTCTGTTTCAGATAATTCGAGTCATCTTTCCACTGATTTATGTGCCTAAGAAGAGTATATCAGTTTAATAATTTAAAGAATAATCAACATATGAAATAAAATTAAGCTTAGCTTTCTCACCTTGTCAAACTTTTCTGAATGCCTCTGTGACAAGCCTCTGTCCAGACTTTGCTCCTCATCAGACCTTCTTCAACATTTGGAAGCTTCAGCTTCACAAACCCAGGCTCTCCCCTCTCAACCTGAAAATATTGCAGGAGTGTAATTAAGGGGGGGCAAGGAGGGCGAGGGGGCCATCCCCCCACCCCCCTACACACACACACACACACAGACACACAAAAAAAAAAAACAATATAGGAACGTTTGTTTTTAAAATGCAGCTTGATTTGTGCAATGGCATATGCTTACTTGAATATCGGAATGAAGGAAAGGAAGGTCCATTAAAATTTTGAACTGTAGTTGAAATGGAGATGTTGTTTTCAGGTTGTAGTGATATTGTGAGCGCTTACTCAACAAACTGAAAATTGGATCTTCCTCCTCCATGACACTCAGGACATAGACGTCCAGCACCTGAAATAAACAGAGGTTTCTTAGAATTCTTGCTGCAAGAAGCGCAACGAATACAGCTTTATATTTGACACTCACATCTCTCACTGTTGACAAATATTCCCTTCGCTTTTCCTTGAGGTGCACAACATTCTGATCGACAATTAATAAGTCGTTGTTTAATTCTTCCATTGCTTCCATTTTGGAGATACGGAGATACTCTACAAGAGAAAAAATTGAGCAAATTCAAACAAGTGCATAACACTTTGCAAACAACCACAAAGGTACAGTACACCTCTGAGACAAAGTACTTTGAAACAACATCTCTGAAAGAGAACTCTAGATCAAAGAATTCAGCAGTGAGCATTTTCAACCATTTTGGTGAAATTAAGCTAAGTTGATGGCATGATATTGACACTTCATCCTCCTGGTGGGGTGGACGGTGGGTATTCCCCTTTTGTCACCCAAGTGCGGCTGCAGTACTGCGCAATTGAGGCAACGTTAGATTCACATGCCTCCATAACCTACTTAACGATTCTTCATTTTCAACCCAAATTACGCGACTGGTACAGTGGAACCACTGCATCAGAGCTAAACTTGAATCAACACGTACCTTTCTAGGATCAACTCTCGCAACCAAAGCCTACGGGCCGCTAACCCTCCTCCTTGTGGCCCGTCTGTCTCCTGTCTGGCTGTGGGTGTGTGTGTGTGTTTGTGAACCATTCCCCGTACGGTGGCGCTGCCTGGCGGCGAAACATAGAATCCGCAACAGGCTGCACGAAGGGTGGCCTACTCCCCGGGCGGAAACGTCTCCAACTGGTTGCCTACCCAGCCATTACCATTACGGGCTAGACCAAGGCGTTTTGAACGATTTGAGCCACGTGGGTGGACGTCCCAGTGTGGATGTCAATTTTGTGTGAATCGATTAAGTTTTCTGAGGGATGGGTTATCCAGAATAAGGATTCACTTGCATTCGTATTTGAAATACTTATTATTCAACAAATATTCACAAGAAATGCTTTTCTTTCACAAGAAATGATGGACATGGATGCACACTGTTAGATACTATAACAAACTTGAGGAGCTAATAAAAGACTAAATCCACAGAGAGGGAGACGGGACACGTAACATTTTTTTTAATGATGCGAAGCAACAACTTTAAGTGTTGTATACTGATGTCTAAAAGAAAATGTAGATGCTTCCACTTCAGATGGATTCTAAACAAAAAAAGTCCATTCTTATAGGGCCTGTACAAAAATTCAGGCAGGAGGGAATCTTTTACTTGTAAGCAATAATTTGTATCACATATGTTGAGAAATTTATGAATGGGAGTACTAGGGGTAGTTGGAGGTAAAGATTCTTAATCTAACTTCTGGACAAAATATGTAATTCAAATTCCTAATAGAAAACACCGTTCTTCAGAAACCAACATGCACAGTTATAATAAATAAACCAAATTTAATAACTGCCTAATTAAATGATGATTTGAAGCCCTAATTATTTTGTTGCCTTTCACTCACTACTCAAATATTTTTAAATATTCATTGTGGTTTTCATTCCAATTATTTTTGGGAGAAATCATAGAAAGCTTACATTAAGAAAGTTGCAGAATATGACTTTAATCCACCACAACATAGACAACATGTCATAAAGGAACAACACAATTTTAAAACAAATTGAGATCTCATTCTGTCCAGTTGAACACAATAAATAAGTTACACGCAGGCAGGTATGTCTAATTCTTAATTATTTATGTTCTAAGTTGTGTGACACCTAACTGACACATTTGGTCCAACAATTGTGCGTCTGTAGATCTGTATGGCCATGTAAACTATAGGATGTAAATGCAGTACAAAAGACACAGCCTCTTTTCTGTAAAATTATTCTCACTCAGATTTTTTTTTGTTTGAAGATGTGCTTAAGTGCACATTAAGAAAAACTATGGCACAAGCTCATTCAAGAGTGCTTGGTTCTATAAAAATACAACATTGCTGCTGAGTCAGAGCACGTGAGATTAATGCACTTTCACAGAAATGCAATGAACTCTTGCTGGATTCAAATAGCGTTTCCTTATAAAATTTGGTTATCATAGTCACTTACAAGAGGAATGTAGAGACAATGAAACATTGGATTAAAAAAAACAATCTGTGTTGTGTAAATGAAAACACAAAACAAATATGATGGGCAGGTGTCTTGCTGTCTTAATAAACTGTTACAATAATCAGGATTGCAACCACGTGATGTGTTCCTATGTTTTACCTCAAATGTTCTCAGTTAACATTTCTGACCTTTTTCAATGTCTGATATCACAAATGAGAAACAGTCACGGATAAAATCTGGATTTGATATTGAATGAAGTTTCTATCACAGATTTTTCAAAAGTTGGCAATATATAAAATAGGCCAAAACTGAGTTTAAATTAAATTCATACACTAAACCATACAGGTCAAGATTAGCACATACATATCTTGTTTCAGATCACACACACTAGTCCACACACTGACTTTGAGACAGCAACAACAATTACCAAGTTAACGAGATGCTTGTTGATTGAATTTTGACAATGGGGCGAAAGTGTACTTCACATCGAAGTAAGAGATGCTAATACATTTCAAAGTTTGGTTTCACTCGAAAGAGACATGCAACAAGGGACAAGAACAAGGAATGGTGGTCGACAAAACATCATCGTTCTTGACACTACAAAATTGAACACAGCTCATTTCACATTACCTACATTGTGTGTGTGTGCGTGTGTGAGTATGGCAATCATTGGCTTTCGATAATAAATACTCTTCATTGTTCCAACCACTTATAAAATAAAAATAATTTCTGCCGGCTAAGGCAGCTTGGCGGGGACTTGCTGCACTTCCACTGTCGTGCAGAGCTCTGCCGAGCCGCAGCCAGACGGCCGGGCGGCCGGGCCGCGGCGGCGAGCAGGTGGAGGACACCGAGGTCGTCGCCATCATCGGGGAGGCGATAACAGGTGGTGAGTAGGCCTCGGCCTGGGCCTCGGCCTACATCACGTCCGGCACGAGTTGGTCGCTGGCCGAGTCGGCGTGGTGGTGGTGGTGGTGATGGAGGTCGCCGCCGGCGTCGTCGCCGAGGCCGTCGCGGTCCTGCTGCAGCCAGGGGTGCCGCAGCACGTCCTCGGCCGTCAGCCTCTCCGAGGGGTCGCGCCGCAGCAGCGAGCGGATCAGGCAGCGCGCCTTGTGGCCCAGCCACTCCGGCATGACGTAGTGGCCGCGGCTGATCTTGGCGAACAGCGAGGCGTGCTCCGTGTCGTTGAACGGGTACCTGCAACCAGAGCGAGAGAGAGGGCGTTAGCGTCGGCAACGAAGTGCGCAAACATTGCCAACAGGGTGGAATACAGAGCAGGTCTCGGGGGCATTCCCCGCCACGCCGCCGCCGCCGCACAGTGGGCCGCACGACCGGTGGAGGCGGCCAAACTCCAGAAGCATTTTGAGCTCCAGAGTCGCTAGAGGGCTCGAACCGAACATGTGACCCCATCAATGGATTGCTCTCCGAACGAGGAATCCATTCGTGAGGTCACACGTTCGGTTCGAGTCCTGGTTAGCGACTCTGGAGCTCAAAACGCGTCCTGAATTTTGGCGGCCTCCACCGGTCTTCTGGCCCGCCGCCACTGGCCCAGTCCGCAAGGCAGACTCACCTCCCCACCAGCGTGGTGTACAGGATGACGCCCAGGCTCCACATGTCCGCCGCCCTGCCCGAGTACTGGGTGTGGCTCCGCAGGATCTCCGGGCTCACGTACGCCGGGCAGCCCCGCTTGTCCTGCAGCAGGTCGTCCTCCGGCGAGTCCAGCACCACGGCGTCCTCCAGTGACTCCAGTTTCAGTGTCGTCCTGCAACAGAGATCGAATCACGTTAGAGACGTCGGCAGCGGCAGTCTGACGATTCAGAGTCGTTTTCGTCGCTCTGTCTCTCTCGCACCCGTATGGTACGCCCCACGAGTGCCAGAGAATCAGTCTGCGGGCAGCGAGAGCGGCTAGGTGGCTCTCGGAGGCGCAGCGCGCAGCCCCATTGCGACAATGCGGAGAGTGCAGTAGGGCCCGTTGGCCGTTTCAAAATTTCTATCCGCGCGGCGCTCTGTGAAAAATCGCATTGCATCACCTGTGTGTGTGTGTGTGTGTGTGTGTGTGTGTGTGTGTGTGTGTGTGTGTGTGTGTGTGTCAAAGCGCTCAGACCTGCCCTTGAAAAGCACGCCCTGTCCCCCTCCCGGCCGCACGCACTCACACACTCACACACAGACAAGCGCGACGTGGGTGTGAAGCAACACACTCGGCCCAAAGTCTGGCCAGGGCTGCCGGGCCTCCCGGGGCAGGGGGCAACGTCACAGCCAGCACAGCCAGTCTGTCTGTCCTTGTCGCAGCAGACTGATTCCGAGAGACGTTTTCGTCGCTCTGTCTCTCTCGCACCCAAACGGGACGCCCTGTGAGTGCGAGAGAGACAGAGTCTGCTGGCGGGCCGGGCCGAGGGCAGCCCAACGTCGAGGGCCGCGGGTGGCGGCGCCGCGGCGGAGCGAGAGAGACAGCGAGACCAACGAAACGCCCTCGCGCTCCACATCGGCCAGCCCGGGCCTGGCCATCGCCGCGCTGTACAGTGTAGTGTACCCCGTGGCGTTGCACGTGGCGTTGTGAGCACCGCGTTGGACGACCCGGTTCCGGGGAATGCAGTGACACTGGGGTGGCCATCCCCCGCAGACCGCTCCTATCTCTCTCTCTCTCTCTCTCTCTCTCTCTCTCTCTCTCTCTCTCTCTCTCTCTCTCTCTCTCTCTCGCTCACAGGGAGCCCCGTGGGAGTGCGAGAGAGACGGAGCGACGTCGGCGCTGTTCAGGCCAAGGCAGGGTCGAGCGGGTCGAGCATAGGGAAGAGGCGCCGCCGCACCTCGCCGACAACGCAGACGCAGGGGGTCCTCCGGCGGCCTAAATTAAAAGTCTGCCCCCTCCCCCTCCATCACCGCCGACAAAGAAATACGCAACCGGCCGCAATAACAACAAGCAGTGCCGTTTACCGAAGCCGCGGCCACGCCGCCACGCCGCCCCCGCGACACCGCGGCCGTTTTTAAAGCCACCGGCCACCGGCACGATGCCGACACGCGTCCTGCCCTTTAGCGGCGACCAGTGGGGGCGGGGCGGGGCGGGGCGGGGCGGGGCGGGGCGGGGCGGGGCGGGCGGCCCTTGGCTGGGTAGGCCTGCTTTGGTGTTGATGTCGTGGACGGGCGCGGCGGCGGGGCGGGGCGCAGCGCAGCGTATGAGTTGTGAAACGCGTTGTGCCCCATACTGATTACGCGCTTATCGGTCTGTACCGCCCCGCCCCGCCCCGCCCGCGCCGCGCCTTGGGCACACGGCAGTGCGGCAGGCGGCGTGGCGGCGGGGTGGTGCCCACTGTCTGTACACGCGTCTCGCTCTTTCGGGTCGCCGGGAGCACTGGGGGCACACTGGGGGCACTCCGCGGGCCGGCAGGCCTTCCTCGCTCCCAATCACGCAAAACAACAAAAACAAAAACAAGAGAGACGCGTGGGGATTCGAACCCGGCCGCCGATACCGCTTGGCTGTGTATTCCCACCCACCCGATTGCCGTGCCCCAAAGCAACACTCACGCCGGTCCGTCGGTCCGTCGGTCGCAAGCAAGATCATTGAGTAAGCCCCAGCAGCGGGATCACACCACCCCTCCCTCCTCCCGACCGCTACACCGTCAAAAAAGGATTTCTCAGGGGCCCGGTGGTGGCGATGCGGATCGTCGGATTGTCATCGGCGATCGGTTCGCACCGATACACTGTCCACGAGGACCGTTTACAGTGCCTTACACCGGCCGCCGGGCCAAGGCGACCAGCAGACTGATTCCGAGAGTCACTTTCGTCGCTCTGTCTCTCTCGCGCCCGTACGGGACGCCCCATGAGTGCGAGAGGGACAGAGCGACGAAAACGACTCTCGGAATCAGTCTGCAGGGACGGCCACCCCGCTGAGGCAACGCCATTTACAGTGACGTGCCGTCCAGCGACGCGGCCGCGCAGGCCATGCTGGCCATGCAGCGAGGCACCGACCAGCACCAGCCGGGCACCGCCATGCAACGCCGATAAAACTCGTGTTGAAACATGGAACATTTACGAAACGAACACAAGTGAGTCCTTTGCCGGGCGGCTACCCCTGCCCCCCCCCCTTTTCTCTCACCGCCTCCGCGAGCGTTCTGTCGCTTTCTGACACAACCGAGCCCAGCTCGGCTCAGCCCCGCTCAGCCCCGCTCAGCCACGGCGTCTCATTCTTGGATGTGAAAGAAACCTGTTTCTCGGCACGGGCCTGCGCCGAGCGATTCCGAAGAATGGTCTCATCTCTCTCGCACCCCCTGTGGGACGCCCCTCGGGTGCGCGACGGAGACAGAGCGACGAAAACTGCTCTTCGGAGCGAGTGTGGCGGTGCGCCGCAGGCCGAATGAATCATTGTGTCACACGGAGCGCTCTCATCATCCCGATCCACGCGATTGCCTCAAACAAATTGACCGGGCCCACTCCCACCTGCAGACCTCAGCGTGCACGCCGATCTCGGCCAAATGCGGCCGAATTCGGCGCCCATCTCAGCGACAGCCAAAGCCGAGCAAGTCAGATGACCAGTTCGTCGATCTGTCTCTCACCCACTCTTACGGAGGGCACCCCGAGTGCGGCAGAGACTGCAGACTGATTCCGAGAGTCGTTTTCGTCGCTCTGTCTCTCTCGCACTCATAGGGCACCCCGCATAGGTGTGAGAGAGACAGAGCGACGAAAACGACTCTCGGAATCAGTCCGCAGAAAGGCGAGCCGGCTCCTCCGAATCGCTGCCCCTGCAGGCCCTGCACCTGCCCTGCACCAGGGACCTCGCATCGACTCGATGCGTGGACTTTCCGCGACCGCCGCGTCTCCAACGCAGCCGTTACGAAGTGTAGAAATGCCGCCTCCCGGTCAAATGATTATTCAGTGATTTATTGTCTAGGGATAGGCAGCCGGCCCAGCCTCGGCCCGGCAGACAGCCTGGCAGTGCGTGAGGCGGTGTAGGCGACACGGCGCCGTGCGACTGGTGCGACACGGCCGGGTTGGTCAACTGGATCGTAAAAATATTCACCAACAAAGCGCGCGAGGTTACGCCAGGCCACGCCAGGCCAGACGGACGCGTTGCGCCAGGCCACGCACAGTGGGCCAGAAGACCGGTGGAGGCGGACAAAACTCTAGACGCGTTTCGAGCTCCAGAGTTGCTAAAAGGGACTTGAACCGACTGTGTGACCCCACCAATGGATTTCTCTCCGAACGAGGAATCCATTGGTGAGGTCACACGTCCGGTTCGAGTCCCATTTAGCGACTCTGGAGCTCAAAACGCGTCAACAGTTCTGTCCGCCTCCACCGGTCTTCTGGCCCACTGTGCCACGCCGCGCCGCGCCACGCCACGCCTCGCCTCGCCCGCCGCGGCCCATGCCCGGCAAATGTCAAGTATCAATCAGCCAGGCAGTTAACGGACTCTGATTGGTCGCCATGTGTCTCCGCGTCCCGGCGGCCCGGCCAATCAGGGCATCGGATTCCATTTGCGATTGATCCACCTGATGGTTTCGCCGCCACGCGTTGCAACGCACGCGCCGCCGTAATGCAGTGTAGTGTTGCGGTGCGCGGCCCACGACTTGCCCGCCGCCCTCGCCGAGTGGCCGACGGCGCCGACGGCCCGGGGGGGAGAGGAGTTCAACGGCCCTGGAGAAAGCAGTGCGGGGCGCCTCTCCGCCAAGACGCCGCCGCCCTGCCTCCGGCTCCGGTAGCCAGGCCGACCAGGGGGCCTTATGTCACCCGGGGCAACGGCCGACGGCTACGTCCAGCGGCCTGCAGGCAAGACGGCCGGGCCGCGTTGGATAAGCAGCAAAGCAGCCGGCCGGCTGGTACCTCTGTCTCTCTCGCGCCCTTGCGGCCCGCCCCACGAGTGCGAGAGAGACAGAGCGACGAAAGCGATGTGCGGAGTCGGCGGCCGGAGCGCCTGCGCGGTAGGCATCCGGCTGCGTTGCGCGCGCGTGTGTGCTGCAGGGATGCCTACCCCTCCGTTCGCAGGCGCTACGGCCGGCGGAGGCGGTCAAAACTCGAAATGCGTTTGGAACCCCAGAGTCGCTCAACAGGACTCGAACCGAACGTGTGACCCCACCAATGGATTCCTCGTTCGGAGAGCAATCCATTGGTGGGGTCACACGTTCGGTTCGAGTCCCATTCAGCGACTCTGGAGCTCAAAACGCGTTTAGAGTTTTGTCCGCCGGCGCCGGACTGCTGGCGCACTGTGCGGCGCGGCTAAAACAACGCGTGTGGGGCGCGAGCGCGGACTTGGCGGACTCCAAGGACTTGGAGGACTTGGTGGACTTGGCGATACGGGACTTGGTTTTGTTTCTGAGCGCAGCTGGGCGAGCGGCGAGGCGGCAACCGTATTTAGAAATGGGGTCGCCTTACGCAGGACACCAGTAACTTGACCCGGGCCGTGTGACGAAGTCGGTGACGACGTCGCTGTCGAGACGAACCGCGGACAGAAGGACGGACGGACGGACAGGGAGATGGAGCAGGAAGAAAGTGTGCGTTCGCCATTGTGTGGGGACACGCGCGTGCCGTGCAACAACAAGGAGAAGGAGGAGGAGGAGGAAGAGGCGATGCGAGCTGAAATCCCAGACCGCTATTTCATTATTATTACCAACCAGGTGACTGTCTGACTCGACTCGCCAAAGCGGCGTGGCGGCGCGGCGGCGTGGTGGGGCAATGGCAAGGCAACGGCAACGCGGCGCAGCCATTGGCGCAGCCATTGGCGCAGCCCGACCGATCTCCTTCGCCTCCTCCGCAAGCGCACGGTGGGCCAGAAGA